TCGAGTGGTCAGGTGAATGCGACTTCATCACCGACCCCTCTACGCACTAATGTGTGCGCGACAGCCGGGGAAGGGAGGAAGAGACATAGCGATTTTGTGCGATGCTAGGAGAGGATCGTATTTTAAGGTTGCAAGCACTCATCTAAGCAATTGCGCAGCGATCTCTATTTCTGTCTTTAAGAGTGAATCCATCGCTGTAGATGAAAGGGAGACCGACACTGATCCGCTTACTCTGTCGCAAGCCATTTGTGCAAACGATGCTGCCAGGGTCGAACAGTTACTTCGACTCGGTGTAAGTCCGTTTCTACCCTCTCAATCATAGCACGACCCTTGATGTCGGTACAGTTGACTTCGATGCCAAACGAAAGACCTGGAATTTTTTCACTTCTTTTTTTCTGAAGCAGCAAATATGAGCCATATTTGAAAGTAGCTTCGATACTTGGTACATTGTTTACCATCAGGCTGATCCTGAAGTGTATGGGGAGGATGATACCACAAGCCCGCTCATCGAAGCTACTCTTCGGGGTTTCGCAGAGGTGGTGAAAACACTTTTGCTACATGGTGCGTCACCTTCCCATACGGATGTCATCAATAATACGGCACTGCATTGGGCAATAGCTACCTGTCACTGGAACTGCCTAATGCTCCTATTAAACCACGGAAGTCCCTTGGAAGCAGCAAACTATAGACTCCGAACGCCTTTGATGCAAGCCGCTTTCTACGGTCATGAAAGGGTCGTTCAACATCTCATCGATCGCGGGGCCAAAGTGGACCGGCCGTTAAACGGTAATAAGGAATCGGCGCTTACAATCTCCTGTGAAATGGTTGGTGAAGTACTCAGTAGAAATTTGTTTGGCAGCATTCGATGTTGCCATCGAGCTAGTCGCCTTAACATCCTGCTTCATTTCTACACAGGGTGATGTTGACATCACGAAGATTCTCCTGAATGTCGGAAACCGCAGTCATGACCAAGGCAGGCAACTATACATAGCTCTTTCAAGGGCTGCATTCCTAGGTCACATTGAAGTAGTCCAACTCTTACTGGCTCAAGGGGCTGAGGTCAACCGCTGTGAGGATGACATTGAAGCACCCATATTTGCGGCTGTCAGTAGGGGCCATTCAGGTATTTTGAAGCTTTTAATTGCTCATCACGGGAACATTGAAGAACGGAACAAGATGGGTTACACACCACTCATGTTGGCGACTCAATTGGGTGCTGAAGCCATGGTCACTGAGCTAATAGATGCTGGTAAGCGATCCCAAATTTTACTCCCCTTTCCTCATTCTTTGTCCAAAATGGCGAATTTCGCAGGAGGCTGGTACAACTGGCCTTCACCTATTCACCCCGATGTCTCTACCTTCTATTTTCAACTCCAACTTTTGGTGTCTCTTAGGGGCTAACATCGATGCGGTAGCGAACAATGGTCGTGAAACTGCTTTGCTGATTGCTAGGACGCATGGTCAATGGGATGTAGAAAAAGTGATATTGGCAGCCTTGGCTAGGAGTCGTCATTCATGAACGAGGTGCTGTTGTGTGGAGTTCATCTTCTCTAA